AAACACTGCTTTATCAGACATTACATGCAAGATTAAATGAAAATGACATCCAATTTTCTGAAGACAGTCGGTTTCCTTCAGAAATACAGTGATATAAAAACACCCGCACTCAGTGTATGGGAAACACTGTAGTCTCATAATTGAAGTGTAAATTCTGCAGATTACATTATTGTCCAATATTGTACTGTCAGCAATTTATTATTAAAAACGTTTTCATAATTTTAACATACATATTTACATACATAATTATTCAGGTGCACGTGTAATAACTTGTGAAAACTTGAAGCTACTGCAGCACTTCTTCCTCGTCATCTTGTCTGATGCACTCAACCAAGCGTTCTAACCACGACCACCATTCGAATTTCTGTAGGCGGGAATTATTTTAATGATATTATAATGGATCGCTTTGTGGTATCACAAAACCCGGAAAACAAACGCTGTAGTCCAAACGAGCCGTTCGTTGTAGTTCTTGAAATTGGATTTTTAAAAAACGAAATATCTCCCTTTGGAGTGGACTTTGAGATTTGTAAGTTTTGAAGATCTTTTTTTATGCCCAAACATACACACTACACACTGACTAAAATTCAAAAAGTGAAAAAACATAATAGGACCCCTTTAAAGATGAAAATATGTTTGCTTGGTAATTACCTTTCCTAATATTTCCGGTAATTTCCATTATAATTTTATTTTATTGTTCCGTTAGCCCCTAAAGGCCGTCATCAAGCACAGTGATGGGAGCACAGAAACCATTGAGTTGAACCACACCTTCAACGAAACCCAGATTGAGTGGTTCCAGGCTGGCTCCGCCCTCAACAGAATGAAGGAGCTGCAGAAATGAGCGTGATTGGCTATAAATATACATATTTGGGAGGGGAAGGGGTTATGCTTCAAACAGGAGGATATGGTATGTGTATGAAAGGTTTAAATACTCATGTAATTATGAACTGAATTATACACAATACATAAAATACATTTTAAAACTGTGTTGCATAGACAAGTCATGTCAATACTGTTCAAAGCTATATAATACATTGCAGAGCAGATAAAAGGTATTAAGTTTTGCAACTGTAATGCTTATAAATTACAAGCTGGGTCAGTGTGTATTACAGAATGGTTCATTAAAAAAAAAAAAAAAAGTTAGCCTGCAAAAAATGGTAGGCGCATGCTTGTTAGTGGGAGTTTAATTCATAAAATCATCCAAATATCTGTGTTCAGGCAACTGTTGATTATTAATTTCTGCTGTTTGTAATATGACACTGAACTGTAATGAGAGCTGCTTGTGAATGTTCTGTCCTGTAATCAGCTTTATTAATGGATTCTTTTACTTCACATGATTCTGTTAGCAGAGATGATCAACCATTCATAATAATTGTTCTTATTCACGCAAGCTTGAAACTTGACCGGTTATTGTTCATGTAGCTATTCTTACTGTGAGTCAGAGTGACATGTCTATGCCTATTCTTCAAGACCCTGGCAGATCTTGACATCACACCACCACTATCAAATGTGTCTGGTACTGAGTGCACCACAGGTCAAGTTTATAAACGTTTTAAACGGAATGCTTATTTATAAACATGTGCAAAGAATCTCCAATGTGCATTATCTTAAGTGTTTTGGATGCGTTATTGAGTAATGGATCAGTAATCAGACCTCCAATCTCTTGAGCACTTTTCCTGTATATTTGAGTGCCCTTTTTTGTAGGGTTGTATTTTTTTCCCATTTCAAACCGAGCCATACCCATGTCAAAGCAATGTCAATCCCCCTTATCAGCTGACTATAGCAGCTGCTTTCAAGATACCAAGAGGTAAATGACTAGCTTTGTCTGACTCGACACGTTCATCCTCATCAGATGAACTTTTACTGTTAAATGAATTCTAGCCAGTGCAGTAAATGTAAAAAAAAAAAAAAAAAAAACTGCCTTGGATGTATTTTTAGATCTGTGAAAGGAATAATGGTTTTCGTGCTGCTTGCAACACCCCACAAACACATCCTCTTGATTATAACTCCCATTATTTTCATTCTTTTTTTTTTTTTCCGTTATTAAGGAAATGAATGCTGATTGGTCACAGTGGATTATAAAATAAAAGTCATTTAAAATAAATTAGTCTTTTTTTTGTGTGTGTATAAAGATTAAATGTATACTGTGAAAAAAATATTAGAAATGTGTAAAATATTGTTTGGGAAATATTTCGTTTGTATTATGTTAGACTGTTTTCTACTCCCTATAGTACTGAACTGTTTGAATTATTTAAATCATTTTAATTTAGTTTATTTATTTATTGTTTATTTTTGTATATTTTTACACCCTCTCCCTTGGGTACGCCTGGTGGTCACCTACCCCCAGTTTGAAACCCCCTGAGGTACACAATACGTAGTTACGTACTTATTATGCAGTTAAATTCTTCTCTATTACAGTATTTTAAACATGAATAACAAGCACCACAGCTACACTGCGTCGCGTCAAAACCTTGAACTCGCCTGGATTACATTATGGGCGCTCTGATTGGTCGACTGTAGACTGACGTCAGGATTCTGTCGCTTGCAGCAGTGTAGTGTCGTTGATTATAACTGGAGCGTTTTTGTTTTCTCGCGTCGCGCCGCGTCTCTCGCGTTCAATTTTGATGGGGTGTCCCTCCCTCTCCTCGGGTAACCTCATTTATTGTGTGCTACGTAGGGGGTCCCTTGAATTGAATATGTGGACCACGAATGATAGTACTCAGGCATTTAATACTGGATTCTAATGTAGCTATGTAGAAATATTTGTATCCGCAGCGCAAGAGATATCAACCGGCAGACATTACGGTAAGAATTACATCGTTGTCCTATTATATTTTCCTGTCCGTATATATTACCGTTGATTGAATACGCCTTTACGGTTATGGTGTCGCATACTGTGGACTACGGTTGTCAACAACCAAAATTGTGGAGCGCAGGTTGATAATATGATAATAAAACACACGTAGTCGCCGTTTAAACACAGTCACTGTCGATAAGGCTTTCTTAGACTACAGGGAAGAAACCCTTGGCGCATTGGAAAACAATGAAAGGGAAACAATATGAAGGAGGAAAACAGTAGCCTCTAGTAAGAAGATCCGATGTGGTCCGGATGCAGCTGCTGCATCCAGATTTGAGTGCAGAGAGATCAACACAACACAAAAAGCGTCTCCTCAGTAAAAGCAGATCAAGTCAGGCAGGGTGGATATTTCAAGGCAACTGTTTAATGTTTCATATCAAATATAATTCAAATGTTTTTGTTTGTTTGGGTTTTTCAAAACCATTTTTTTCAAACCACAGAGGCCTCATCTCATCTCCAGTGAAGTTCACACCAATGGCTGATTCAGACAGCACGTCTACATCTCATCGAAAGCCGCACTGCCCACATACACCTGTCTCACTTTCATTGCCTTTCCTGAGAGAGGGCAGTAATGTCTTGGAGAGGAAACCGCCCCAAACAGGGGAACCTCCTAGTCCACTGCCAACCAAACGCACACGCACCTATTCAGCGTGAGTACATGCGTGTAAATGTGATACAAGAATTTGGACTTATTTTTATTATTTTGTCTGACTTTACAGTAGCTGATGCGTTTTTTCTTCCAGATATTGATATTGATACAATTTTCTGCTTTGTTCTTCAGTATTGGAGATACCGATACGTGCCAAAGAGAGTGAAAAAGACATAGCAATTTAAGACATATAAGTGTGTCCTGTTCCTCCCAAGAACATAAAGTTCCAAGCCGTTGATGTGGTCATCACCAACCTGTCTTCCGGAAGGAAGCATGAGACCTGGTCTGGGCAAGTTATCAGCTCCTAGCTCACTCATTCAGAGCCCAACAGAAGAATAAATGCAGAGAGGGAGAGATAAAGGAAGGGGTTTAACTTGAGGTGCTCATGTTGGCGTAAAATGGTGTTGTGTGTTAGTAGGATAGCGATGGAATAGCAATTAGGGTTATGCAACTGTTGTTTTCTCCGGTCTGGCAAATAAGCAACAGGAAGTTGGTGAGAAGTCTGTTTGGAAAATGTTTTGAGATGCAAGTCAGCTGAGCTTTAATATAGCATTGGCAGAACATAACATAACTGTGAAACAAAAAGCAGCAGTGTTTCCCTTGTTTGAAATGTTGTCCTTTATATGTAATTAATTATGTATTTATTTTCACTTTATGTACAGAGACATTTGAGTTCATTGTGATGTGTATGGTCAAGTCATTTATGCAAAACCGATTTCCTAAAATAAATGAATGCACATCAATGGAAACTTCCATTTCTTTAATTGTGATTGATAGGACTGATATTAGTTTTCTGTAAGAAAGCTACAAATCCCAGTCGTTCATTTTGTCAAGAACAATGCTTCTTATGATAATTCTAATAAAACTGAAAGAACATGATGCCGTGTTTTTTCTTGATATTTCTTTATATCAAAATTTAAGTTATGACTTTATTCTACTTTCAGGTTTTCAGATTTTTAAAAACATTTTTAAATTCCATACAGGTTATGTAAATGAAGTGCTTATAAAGATAAAATGCAACTGTGAAAATATGGAGACTGCCAAAGTAAATGCGTAATCAGGAATTAAAATAAATATGATATATTGAATTAATTTTAATTATTATATGTATAGCAACAAATATAAATATATATAAAATATACATAACATAGAAAAAGAAATACACATATTATACAGTATTATCCAGTGTCAAAAACTTAAAATGTTCACCAATGTCAAAGCATAGATGTGTTAAAGGGGTCATATGATGTTGCTAAAAAGAACATTATTTTGTATATTTGGTGTAATGAAATGTGTTTATGTGGTTTAAGGTTCAAAAAACACATTATTTTCCACATACTGTACATTATTGTTTCTCCTCTATGCCCTGCCTTTCTGAAACGCGTCGATTTTTACAAAGCTCATCGTTCTAAAAAAGCGACTTTGCAACTTTACAGATCTTCTTTATGCACCAAGAGCTTGTAACACTCCAAAGAGAAAGGAAAAATTAAAATCGCGTCATATGAGCCCTTTAAGATGTACTGTAGTGGCATCTATTGGTGGAAAGGAAGCGAGCCGCATGTGTACAAATGACCATTAGAGAGAGCAATACATCATAAACAGTAGGCCTACAAAAGTATAATAAATTTTTATTTACACATTTTACACTTTTATAATACATTTTATATTGCACCCTTAGCTCATAAACCAGCGACTAGTTATGGGGCAATTCTACAAAGAAACAGCTACTTTTCTTTATCACCTTATAAAATCACACATTTATTTATGTGCATGTTTGCTAGAAGAGAACGACCAGTTAAAAAAAAAAAAAAAGATAGATTGATTGATAGGCTATGACTTATGATGTCTGCTGACGTTTTATGGCCCAGATTACAAAAAGATTTACTTCACAGATTTTTCTCAGAAGTCGTAAATGAAACGGAACCATAAATATATGAACTGCCAAGACTATTGTTTGATATGATAAATCATTATTGAGGGGAAGCACCAGGTACATAAACGTGTTGGAAAGGAACGTGTATAAGCACAAAACAATGAGTGTGGCACATTCAAGTACATTTAACAAGAAAAAAGATAAAGGTTATAATGAAGTGTGCTTTTCTATTTTTATTTATTTACTTTTATTCAGTGTTTTTAGCTGTCCTTAAGTAGAAAGGCAACACACATTTTAGTATATTCTAAAACACCAACAAATACACAATCCCGGGCATAAATTAAACCTTAAAATTACGTTTAAATAATATATTGTATATAATACATTCAATATATAATATAAAAATTAAAATGTAGACATGCAAATAATAAACTTAAGCACAACAAATCGTAACATGCATCAGAGAATAATTTAAGTATTTTCCTGCCCTCAGCTGGGAAAACAAACACAGGTGCTTCATTCTGATTGCTTTTATGATGCATCCATTTATCACGGGACAATGGTTTTATGACTCAACCTTTGTCCTTCACTCCTTCTCACCGTCCTCTGCACAATAGTGTTCAATAGACCCTTAGAGCTTCTGCTTCAGTTGCTTTGACAGAATTTGATTACTTACAGATAGATTCATATATGTATATAAAAGCTTCTCTATGAGAGTATTAATGAGGCCTAAATTTTCACTCTTACTGACAGTCACTGTGTGAGCTAGCCTAGAGAACTAGCTATATAGACAGCAAAAAAAAAAGCTGTCTGGCTGGAAATGTGCCCATAAATGCTGTCTATGTAGGCAGCACACTAGGTTTTGAGACACGACTACTGACTATGTTGTTCATTAACACGCTCAGGTGAGAGCAGAGTGATCAGTGTGAAAGCGAGCCTGTCTAGGACAAAAGACTAGATTGGATAAAAGTCTTTATTGTTTTTCTTCTACATTTTCCATTCTTGGAATATAAATGATGAAGTCTGCTGGATTTAACTCAGAAAATAGCTGAACAACTACAAACACGTTTCAGTGAAAATCAATTCGAAGTAAACATTTTGCTGACCTCAAAGGCCGAGAGACTTTATTTTTTGTCTTTTTGCCTTCTTAACATTTGAATATGGATTACCGTATCTGGTTGTTTGCATGTCTATCATGGACACTACTAAAGCAAAGTCACTTTATGAAAGAGTCTTGCTTTAATGGAACACTTCTGATGAATGTTATTTTATTGGATGATGATGTGTCGCCCTGGAGTATCAATTTTGTAAAGTCGGTGGTGCTGAGAGCTGTTGGAAATGATTCTGAGATCTCTGAAGATGGTAAAGTATGATCCTAACTTAGCAAAATATGAAGAGAGACTATTTAAATTACTATGGCATTAGAGAGCTCTCTAATTCAAATTTGACTAGTAAGAATTAAAGTTAGAGAGCTCTTTAATGCAATTTGTACTAGTAACAATTGAATTAGAGAACTCTCTAACCGAATTAGAGAGCTCTGAAATTGCATTCTTACTAGTAACAATTCAATTAGAGAGATCTACAATATCAATTCTTACTAGTAAGAACTGAATTAGAGAGCTCTTTAATTCAGTTACAGAGCTCTGCAATTAAACATGGTATTTTACTAGTAAAAATTGAATTACAGAGCTCTGTAATTGCATTTTTACTAGAAATAATTAAATTAGCTCTCTAATCAGAATTGTTACTAGTAAACATTTAATTAGAGAGCTCTTTACTTGGAATTATTACTAGTAAAATTGACTTAGAGAGCTCTCTAATTGGAATAGTTACTAGTACGAATTAAATTGTAATTCTTACTAGTAAAAATTCAGTTGAAGAGCAATTAAAAAAGTAAATGGAGACATATGTATGGCAAGCCATTTTAGCTTAAAATAGTCCCAGCATTACTCGTCGTAATTGCATTTTTACTAGTAACAATTCAATTAGAGAGCTCTACAATTAAATTCTTACTAGTAACAATGCCAATTACAGAGCTCTCTAATTAAATTCTTACTAGTAACAATTCCAATTAAAGAGCTCTACAAATGAATTTTTACTAGTCATATGTCTCCATTGACTTCCATTCATTTTTAATTACAGAGCTCTACAACATAATTTTTACTAGTAATAATTACAATTCGAGAGCTCTCTAAATCAATTTTTACTAGTAATAATTCAAATTAGAGAGCTCTCTAATTCAATTGTTACTGTCATGACTGAATTAGAGAGCTCTTTAATTCAATTACAGAGCTCTGCAATTAAACATATCTTTAATGTGGTTTTTTACTAGTATAAAAATGAATTATAGAGCTCTGTAATTGCATTTTTACTAGTAAGAATTAAATTAGAGAGCTCTCTAATCAGAATTGTTACTAGTAAAACATTTAATTAGAGAGCTCTCTAATTGGCATTGTTACTAAGAGTTTAATTGTAGAGCTCTTTAATTGGATTGTATAGTAAAAATGCAATTACAACGAGTAAGACTGGGAATATTTTAAGCTAAAACGGCTTGCCATAAATTACAGTCTTGCAAAGTCATAGCCTAATTATGTTAAACAAAAGAAACATAAGATTTTATGACAATTACTATTGTTTAAATATGAAATGTAGTTCAGTTTGAAATAATCATGTTAATTCTAAATTTGTATTATAGTTTGAATCTAATTTGTTTCTTTTTCCACCTTTTTTTCTAGAGGTGAATCCCCAATTAGAGGTAAAATTCAGAGGGTTTAAAACCATTTACTACTTGAAAAAAGGCTGCGCCAGTAGCGCCTGTGAGGGGGTTGAAATTTTAAATGATCTTGCGGTCAGTTCTGGTCTTCTTAATTCCTTTGACATACTTTATAGAAACTATATAAAGTGTCTTCCCACTGATCATTGTGATTTCTTTCTAGAATGCAGGGGAGGAGGGATGTGCTTTGCTGGGACCAACCTGCACTTACGCCACTTTCCAAATGGTTGAGTATGTTAGATTTTACTTTTACAGATCTTTGTCTGTATTTCCTTGGTTTCTTGCTTTAGATCTTGCTATAGATCCTCAGAAGATCCTTAGGTCTGCCTAAATCCTTAGAAATCCATTTCTTGTGAAAAAGTTAATTTTATTATCTAATTATTATATCTATTGATATAATATATGATATATACTATATCTATTATCTAATTTTATCAACTTTTATTATTTTATTAACTTTATGCACTTGTTGGTATTTTGAATCTTAAAAGTATATATTTTTTAAAACTGGACTTGCAGATAATATAAATGAAATAAAAGTCCACTTTAATGAGTTTTGCAACACTTGCACTTTTCAAAATTGCACTTTGTTATAGTTTCCAATTAAAAGTTTTACATTTACATTTGAAATCATTATGTTTTAATAATCTTTTGTTGTGCTTTAAAGAAGTATTTTGATGTCTTGATACTAAACCACAGGGTTATAATTTTAACTGTAGTGTTTTATTCAATATTACATTTAAAGTTAATATATTTTAAATATACTAAATTGCAGCTATTTAAATACATGATGAATGTTTCAATAGAAATGACATTAAAGTATATTTAAGTTTACCATAAATGCATTCAGTACATTTAGCAGTTACACTTTAACCCTATTTCGAAGACAATAGAAGTAATTTTGAAATGACATATAAAACTTTACTTAAGTTCGTCAAAAAAGCAATCTTAAGTTCAAGGAGTTGAATTTATATAGATTTAAATAATACATTTTCAATAACATCCATTTAAGTGTTATGATATGAGTTATGGATTAAGTTATTAACTCAAACCATTTAGAGTAGTAGATTACTACTTAGAAAGCAGGTACTGTTGACCAACTAAACTAAAAATTAAAAATATGCTATTTAATGACTGAAAGTTAGTGTAAGATTAGAAAACGATCATAAAGCAAAAACTTTGGTCAATTTCCGTGCCATCTGAAACTGAGTTTACTGTAGCTGGAAGAACATGTGATTTGTGTGTGACCACTTTTGTAGTCTGGAGATTGGTCTGAACCTCAACATGCCCATCATCTCAGCCGGAAGCTTTGGATTGTCTTGTGACTTCAAGAGAGATCTGACTCGACTTCTGCCTCCAGCAAGAAAAATCTCCAGCTTCTTCTTTCACTTTTGGAATGTCACAGATGATATCAAGCCTGAATGGAAAACAGCGTACATATACAAGAAACAGAATAACACAGAGGACTGTTTTTGGTGAGTATGTAGTGACTGTACATTAGTAGTTTTCAACAACAGAAGAGATATTCCCATATGGTTCTCTGTATAATTTTGGGTCTTGTCTGTAGGTACATAAATGCACTTGAGGTGGCTTCAGGCAACTTTTCCCGTAGTTTAGAGAAAATCGTGATTCTGCGAAAAGAGGATGACCTCAGTAAGGCTCTTGGAAGCCATGGCCGGGAGAGTAACTGTGAGAACTTATTTTATTTGAAAACTAAGGAAAAACAACCTTAGTTTGTAAATGTTTTACTTATGGTAATGTATGCCTTAATGTGTGTCTCTGGTCAAAAATCTTCCAACAGTCTGATAAGTTGCAGTGCAATTTTTGTTTATTATTTATTTATTTATTTCTGTTACTTGGTTTCTGTTTTACAGTGGTCATTTTATGTGGAACACCTGATGACATCATGGATCTGAAGAACGGCACTATGGACTCTGATAATGAAATCGCTTTTCTTCTGATTGACCTTTACAAGTCAGTCAGCTCTTGCTTTCTTTAATCTAGAGAGCTAGTAATGTATGTCATATCTACTGTTCATGACTAAATGTGCATGGATAACCATGCTAACTGAGTAATATAACTGTGCTGATCTCAAAAAGCCTAATTTAAAAAGTCTACAAAGACTGAAAATTCAGAAACAATACCAACTTTCTTTCACAGCGACAGATATTATAATGAGACATCTAATGATGCTATGAAAAATGTCCTGGTGCTAACAATGCCCAACACAAGACAATACACCATTGACACTTCTGGTAACAACACGGTGGGTAAAGTTTTTATTTATCTCCTATGTATGTCCTGACAGGTCAAAACTTATTCTGAAATCTCAAACAGAATCTCAATCACCATTCATTCTGTCCCAGAAATCACATTTGCCTTGTTATATTTATTTCTTAACTTGCTTGTTTACATACACCATATGGACAAAAGTATTGGCCTGGCCATTACACCCACATTGCATTCTAAATACATAGATATGGAGTTGGTCCCTTGTTGCGGCTATAACATCTTCCACTCTTCTGGGAAGGCTTTCCACATGATTTTGAGTCCAGTGAGTCCAGTGGCAGTGTGTTTTACTCTACTCCATCTGACACTTGGCATTGTACTTGGTGATGTGAGGCTTGCATACAGCCATGGATACCCATTCCATGAAGCTCCATCTGCACAGTTTTTGTTAATGTCAGTGGAATTTTGGTACAGCAATGGAATCAGCAGAAGCAAGCACTCGGTGACCTTGCTCTGTGACTTCATGATCTTCCGCTTCTTGCTGCTGTTCCTAAATGCTTCTACTTTCCAGTAATACCACTTACAGTTGACTGAGGAATATAGAGCAGGGATGAAATTTCATGAACTGACTTGTTTCAAAAGTTCACTGAGCTCTTCAGAACAACCCATTTTTTCACAAATGTGTGGAAATGCAGACTGCATGGCGCTGTGCTTGATTTGATATACCTGTGGCAATGGGCCTGACTGAAACACCTGAATTCAATAATTAAGAAGTGTGTGCTAATATGTTTGTCCATGTAGTGTATGGTAAATACACACATTTAAATATCAATCAGTAAATACAGTACATATATAACACTATCGTTCAAAAGTTTGGGGTCAGTATGTTATTTTTTTTAATTAATACTTTTAGCAAGGATCCATTAAATTGATCAAAAGTGATAATAAAGACATTTACAATGTTAAAAATATTTCTATTTCAAATAAATGCTGCTCTTTTGAAAGTTAAATTCATCGAAGAATCCTGATGTGTATCACAGAATCCACAAAAAGATTAAGAATTACAATTGCTCTCAACATTGGTAATAATAAGAAATGTTTTTGGAGCACCATATCAGCATATTAGAATGATTTCTAAAGGATCATGTGACACTGAAGACTGGAGTAATGGAATAACTCAGCTTTGCCATAACAGGAATGAATGTAACATTTTTAAACATATTTTTAAATATATTAAAAATAGAAAGCAGTTATTTTAAATTGTAGTACTATTACGGTTTTACAGTAATTTTGATTGAAAAAACGGAGCCTTGGTGAGACTTTAAAAATGATTAAAAAACCTTGCGAACTGTAAACTTTACAATGATTGTGTATTTTCACACTTGTTGCATAATTTTGCCACAAGTGTAAAACAGTCATAACCGTTTTTCACACAATAAATATCGACATTGTTTTTTTTTTTGCTCTTTGTTTAGGTAGTCATAGATTTAAAATGAAATAATTTATATTTTTATGATAGACTTTTAAAATTAATATAATGTTATATAATATAAATGATAGAGGCAGAGTTTGCAGGACAGTTTTAAATGTGGTCTTCTTGCGTTTGGTCATTTTCTAGAGTGTAACTGCACTTTTTTCACATTCACATACTGATGTTTCGCTGTTATGGATCTAGAAGTACTAATTCTCGTCTTCTCACTGTTCTGTGCGCAGATGAATGATTATATTGCAGCGTATCATGATGCGGTGCTGCTGTTCAAACAGGTGATGAGGACCATCTGGAAGATGCCGTCCTCAGAAATTCAGGATATGGAGTCTGTCAGCATGAACTACTTCAGAAATGTGTCTTTCAAAGGTAAAAAGCTTCGGTCATTTCTCATAATATTGGATTTGCTTTGGTAGATCCACAGGATACTACAAATCTGAAAAACCCATACCACAGGTATAGCTGGAGATTATCAGCTGGATGAATATGGTGACAGGGATCTCATATTTTCTTTGATCTACACTAACAACAACAATGAGGTATGCCACAGATTTCAGACATATCACTCTATCTGTGGAACTGTGGAGTGATTATTAATTCAAACTGACTTCTTTTGCACTTTAGTACAAGATTCTTTATGAGTTCAACACATCCACCAACCACACACAGCTAAAGGACAGCAATCCTTCCTTCATTTGGCCTCATCTCCGTCTGCCTGAAGACCGGCCAGATCCCACAGGTATAGAGGATTCCATCATTTGTCAACATCATACCGTTTAAGTTCAAGCATCAAGCTTTATTGTATATTATGAAATAAATGTACTATGCTGTTTATGTAAAAACATGATTTATTTATTTAGACTTCCAAGCCGACATCATTGTCATAGTATTGTGTACTGCTGTTGTGGGGATCATGGGTACACTTGCCTTCATCTTTTACTGGTTAGAGCGATACTTAAAAAAAAAAAAAGTATTCTATGAAATTGTATGTAGCAAGATATTTACTATTGTTTATGTATATATTTTAAAGGCAAAATAGACATTACCGTCACATGCAAAAAAGATGGTCTCATATTTCCTCCGAGCTCATTATGCCTTTAGAGTCGAATGAGTGGAATATGATCAGTCTGAAGGTAATGCACTGGCATCAAAGTTTATCATTTACTTTTATACTAAATTGTTATTAAAAATGAAATGTTTTTACAATGTTACATATTTAATTATCTCTTGTCATTAGATTGAGGAAGACTCTACACAAAATAGTAGCTACATCCTACACCGTGCACGCTATGATAAAAAGGTAATGTAAAAATTCTCACTTTTATCTCAAATTATTCCATTACTCTGAGTTTTTGTAATAAGGTTGTTTCTGTATAGATTGTTATCCTTAAGGAATTAAGGCTTAAAGATGGAAGCTTCACTGAAAGACAGAGGATAGAGCTCAACGCGGTACTGGGACTTCATTCTCTTCACTGAATCACAAAACACTGACACTAAATCATTTTAAGATGAAAACTTTAAGTAACTTTATGTTGTTCACAACTGATGTCATAATGCCACTTCCATTTCAGCTATTGAAAATTGATTATTACAACCTGACCAAATTTTATGGGACAGTCAAATTTGACAATGAGTATTTTGGCGTGTTTGAATATGGAGAGAGAGGATCCCTTAGAGTGAGTATTACAATGAGCCTCATATAATGAAAATAAAGGTATCTTAAATTCTGATTTAGTAGACAAACACTATAATATGTTTTTATTTATTCTTTTAGTATGCGCTCAATGATAAGATTTCATACCCAGAAGAGACCTTCATGGACTGGCAGTTTAAGATCTCTGTCATGTATGACATTGCAAAGGTAATGGAATGATACAGGTGTTTATAACTTCATTTAGCATTTTTAAAATTCAGATTTATTGATTGATTGATAGCTATGCCTAGAGAAACTGTTGAAAGGAATAGTTCACCCAAAAACGAAAATTTGCTGAAAATTTACTCACCCCCAGGCCATCCAAGATGTAGATGAGTTTGTTTCTTCATCAGACATGTGAATGGGCGCCTTCAGAATGAGAGAATCCACAAGCACTCTATCCATAATATTGCTCTCTCCAGTGAAAAATAATCTCATCTGAATCAGGAGAGAAATATGCACAGATCAAGCACGGTTTACTATTGAAAACAGATCTAAACAAATATGTTGGTGGGTATTGATGTGAAAGGACAACAGGGGATGGACCTTTTCAATGAAGGAAGCGTTATTATGGATTATAAACGTTTTAAAGTTAAAACGCCCTATATGATCATTTTAATGTTTTTTAGACATGCAGGTTTTGCTTCACAAAACATTAATTGATAGACTTGAGTCGTGTTGATTGTGCATTATTTTCAGAAAATGTACATTTTTGGGCGAACTATTCCGTTAAATGTAAAATGTATTTGCATACGTATATGCTTTGCATATAGCTATGCCTGCATAGATGGTTTAATACAGGCTATAAAATATATGACTAGTTATGTATATGTACTGTACTAACCTAGTTTTCCGCATGAACTCTTTGCCCTCTGCAGGGCATGTCTTATCTCCATGCAAGCAACATTGCAGTCCACGGGCGTCTTAAATCAACTAACTGCGTGGTTGACAACCGTATGGTAGTGAAGATTGCAGACTTTGGCTTCAATACTATTCTCCCTCCCAGTAAAGGTGAAAGGGTGGTTTATTTTTTATCATAGAAAAGAATCTCAGTTTTCCTACACTGTTATTTTAAGCAATAGTTATTTGGTTAATCATTTGTGTTTCCGCTTGTCTCAGATCTGTGGACGGCCCCTGAACACTTGAGGAAGCAGGGGATCTCGCAGAAAGGAGACGTGTACAGTTTTGCTATCATTTCACAGGAAATCATGATGAGAAAGTGCACATTCTATACAAGCGCCTGCTCTGATCGTACTGGTGAGAGAAAGATTTATAGAAAGCCGCATAAAAATACACATTCACCGGTGACACCTACTGGTGATTTTCCATCATGCATGCATTTGTTTATGCTACATGCGATGTTTAATTTTAAAAGGATAGTTAAGTCAAAAATGAAAATTCTGAACTAAATCATTTACTCACACAAAAAGTTTTTTTTTTTTTTTTTAATAATATGCTGGTAGCTCTTATCCATGCAATTCCAATGAATAGGGAATGAAGCTTTAAAGTTGCCAAAATGTTTTATATTTGCATTATAAAGATTAAAATTTGGAACATAGTAATCCAAAAATTGTTGTTTTATGAAAAATATGGTGCAAATTAAACAAATTTACATGGAATATAATTATGAATTAAAATATTATCATGTGCAATTACATACGCCCCACAGACCTACAATTAAATGAGATTTTATTTTTGTCTACAGATTAAATATTTGAAAGCAGAAATATTTTAGAAAAAGTTTTTATTTTTAATTTGCTTCAGTTATATAAATGTTGATGTTTTTTCTTTTTTCAATGTAAGACAGCAGCAGGACATATTAAGTAAGGCATGAACAACATTAGGACAAGGATCTTGATTTATATTGTGATTTTTCCTGGAAGGTTGTTGATGAGCAGGTGTTTCATAGATGGAACATTGACATATTTTTTTGTACAGTAACTTCCTTTGTATTTTCTCCTCTTTTCTGATTTTCATCTTCTCTTTCTCTGCAGCAACCTTTTTCTCTGCCATTTTATGAATGAAAAGAAATCCCTTCTTTCGGCTGATTTTGCTGCTGCATTCAGGCTCCTGCATGTCCCTCATTTTTCCCTTTGCCGGTGGTGAAATAATATTTGCTGCCTGCTCTGTCTTTGTATCTTCTATCTTCAACCTCTCTTTCCTTCTTTATTGCCTCTTCCTCTGCCTTGGTATTGTGTGCACTGCTGGTGTGCATCCAAGCAAGGTTTGCCTTTGCTGGTAGTGGACTTGCATCTGGACATTTTATAGTTGAAGGGTCTGTCCTTCTACTCCTTTGTCTTTCAAGTAGACACTCTTGCTCCACTTTATCAGGTGCCACCTGAATTGTCAACGGTTCGTTTACAGTGGACAGAGATGGCAGTATTTCCTCCTCAGCAGGTAGAGAAAGATGTTGAGGTTCTTCCTGAACCATCAGTGGTTGAACTACTGTTGGAGAGGAACATGGTAATTTTTTCACCTCATCAGGTGGAGTTTGCTGTTCAGGTTCCTCAAACTGAACCAGAAATGGTTCTGCCACAGCACAGAAAGATGGCCATATTTCCCTCATCATCAGGCTGTGGTTGAAGAACGTGGAAATATTTTAACTCCAGCAAGTGGAGTTTGGTATTCAGGCTCCTCTACCTGAATCATCAATGCTGTTGCAATTGAAAAATCTGCCAATATTTCCAGTTCAACAAGAGAGTCCTCAGAGCCTCTCTTTTCCTCCAACTTTATATCTTCTGTAGGGATCTAGATGGGCTCCTTCTGAATGCTGTTACATTCAGGTTGCCCTTACTGTACTGTCTTTTCAAGTGGTGTCATTGCATGAAGAAGCCTAGGTGACAGAGAACTTTTCTCAGCAATTTCATTTTCACAGTGGAACAAAACAGATTCAATGGATTAACAATTAGTTGGCACTTTCCCAAAGATCAAATATCTCTAGCAAATATCAATGCTCTGATATATCCGCTAATGATGCAATAGATGGATCAGATATCCAAAGATCAGATAGGAAATATCAAGACTGATGTCACTAATCTCTATTTTTCTCCTGAACTGAACTTTACCAGACGGATGCTCAGCATTCCAAACAGTAGTAATAATAGTATATTACTGACGCAGTGTTTTGTAATAGAATTCCAAATACCAGCAGCTATTACACCAAAGAATCGTTCATTTGAGTCAAAACCTCTCTGAACAATACGTTCACGACAGGGACGGTTCTCGAGTCAAGGACTCACTGACTCATCATGGAACTGAGAATCTTTTTTTTTGAGCTCGTGAGCTGATAGGATACTGAATGAAGCAAGAAAAACTTTTGCCATTTTTCGCGAGCACGGTGTTTTTTAAAAATATTTAAGTTGATTATGTAATTAATTTACTCATCCTTTTGACTGGTAGTGTATGATTAACAGATGAAATTCAGACAGATTTGGAAATTGTTTTCGGTTTAGAACAATTCCTTTTACTGATCCACTTTTCTTTTTTTTCTTTTTTTTAAACCAGAGAAACTGGCGAGCGTGCAGTTCCCTAGTATGACATCTTCTTTCTTCAGACCTGATCTAAACTTTGAGAACACCAGTGAAAGTGAACAAGAGGTATGTATGTGTGTATCTATGCATACACAAATTGTTATTTGTACTAATGACAGCCAAATAGTTATGCAAAGCAGCCAAAACATACAGGTAGTTGACATATAATAGCCTGCAGTTGGAAATATGCCATAAACATTCCGCTTTTATGATCTTATATTATTTTAAAGCTTGCTTGGAATATTTGTGCTTTTAGAAGTTAATTTTCTCCCGCCACAGAACCAATAAATTAGTTAGATGAATTAGTTGATGGGTTACCGTGTTTAAAAATGGTTGGAAAAACAGTAACATGAGTAACACTTTACAATAAGGTCTTATTTGTTAAGATTAGTTAATGCATCAGCTAACATTAACAATGAGCAATATATTTTTACAGCATTTATTAATCTTTGTTTATGTTAGTTAATAAATATGTTCATGTTAGTTCGCAGTGCATTAACTCATGTTAACTAATACAATGTTTCATCTTAAAAATGTATTAGTAAATGTTGAGATTAACATTGATTAAGATTTTTAATGGTATAGAAGTATTGTTCATTCTTATGTCATGCTAACTAATGTGATTAATTATCAAATGAAGAACTTATTGTGAAGTGTTACCCATGTTCCTTTATACTATATAAATTTTGATGTTGATAAAAGATATGCATGTCATCTAAGTTTTTCGAGCTAAATCAGGTAACAATCGGTCCCATATTACTTGGTTCTCAGTAATCTGTTTCTCCAGGTGTGCATGCTGATCAGAAATTGTTGGGACGAAGACCCAGACAGACGACCAGACTTCAAAAAGATAGAAAACACTCTATGGAAGATTGTCAGGTCACCTTTATATGCTTTTGTTCAACCAGAGAAAAATCGTACAGAGATTGTAACCACATAGAACATGCAATAAACACATTAGACCATTAGACTGTATGAGGACCATCTAAAACTCCCATTAAATAATAATTCTCTCTCTAATAAATGATTTCCTGATTTGATTTTGAATAGTCTGGACAACCAGGAACATGAGAGCTACATGGAGAACCTGATCCGCCGGCTGCAGATGTATTCCCGTAACCTGGAGCGGCTGGTTGAGGAACGCACAGCTCTGTACAAGGCTGAGAGAGACAGAGCGGACTGCCTGAACTTTATGCTTCTGCCAGGGTCTGAACACAACAAACAGAAAAACACTGCAGAGTCTTATTAGAGATGCACAATATATCAGTAACATATTGGTTATTGGCCAGCATTGGTGATTTTTTAAATTGTACATACTCGTTTTCCATATTTGTACATTTAGATTACCATTGCTGTCATCTACTGCTCAATTTAGTTAAATGTAGCCTAATCTTTAAAGGGGTCATATGATGCGATTTCAATTTTTCCTTTCTCTTTGGAGTGTTACAAGCTCTTGGTGGATAAAGAAGATCTGTAAAGTTGCAAAGACTAAAGTCTCAAATCCAAAGAGATATTCTTTATAAAAGTTAAGACTTGTGGTTGCCACAAGCCCGCCGGACGCTCCTTCGTCGAATCCGCCGGACGCGCCGTTCTCAAGGCCGCCGGCCTCCGCTCACTCAAGCCCATCGTGTGTGATGCAGTGTGACTCATTTTATGTAAGACTGTTTCCTGAACCTGCAGAGTAACATACAATGGGTCTGTGCTCAAAGGCTGTTTCTATAAAGTGGGGCAGTTCCAGCTTTGCAAGGACAGTCTGGCGCTTCTGACTCACAGCCTGTAAGTACCGTTTTTTATATTTAAAGGATTTGCCACTGATGATTCAAACGCGAGTTTGAGCAGTGTAGAG